GCCACCTATCAATGACCTGGGCCAGCACCCTTGAGGTCAAAGGTTCTGTGTCCTATTGCCAGCCCCTCACCCCCTGACCCCCATGCCCCAGCTGAACGTCTCCCCAGAGCCAAGCCCCAGTTTACACCAAGCCTTGGAGTACCTGCATAACCCCACCCCCGCCTGCTTGACCCCACCCCTGCCTGCGTGATCCCACACAGAGGTCACCATTTGGAAGAGTGCACTGCCCCATTCCTGCTGGCATGCGTGGTGCATGGGGCATGGGAAGTCACACAGGCTTCGGAGACAATTCGGGTCCCGATCCCAATGTTGAGCCCAATTCATCCCTGCCCTGGGGCAGGAGCCAAGGGGAGGCAGCTGGGAGCAATTCAGCCCCCATGCGGGTACAGCAGACAGGGGTATCACGAGCTTGTACCCTTGTTGCAATGACTCCTCTGGGCCACAGAATAGCCAGAGCATAGCTCTGCCCTGGCCATGCCCCCTCCTGTCCTGTCTCACCCCACCCCACCCCGCCTGAGACCCACCCCGGGACAGCCCCAGCACTACGAGGCATCTCCAAGAAGGGAAGGAGCAGACACCTGCTGATGGCACCTGGCCTGACCCAAGCTAGCGTGAAAGGGCTATGGGGCAATCAGACCCATTACACCTGGGGCCCATCCATGGTTGTGCATTGCTTCCTTCACACTAGGCTGGCCCTATAGACCCAAGCCCCCACCCCCACTGCACCCTCAACCCCAGCTCCCCTCAACTTGAGCTAATGGAACCAGCAGCAAAGCTGAGGTTGCCCAGGAATTGGGGTGTCCTGATGGCAGACAGAAAGGGGCCTGATCCCCCACACACACTCCCTCCCTGCAGTGGAGCCGCCTTGCCCCCCCGGTCTCCTTCCTCCCGATTCGCCGCGGTGCAGGAGGGAAGCAGCGACATAAAAATGCAGATTCGGGATTGGTATGAAATAACATTCGATATAAATCCCTCTCCTGCGGGTCGCAAGATGAATCGGCCGCATTGAAATTCCACCGCAGTGATAATTAAACTCAGGATCGGCTCTGTGCTAAATTACATTCCTGCAATGCCGCTGCTTCGGGTCCCGGGAAATTGCTCCCAGGGCCTGGAGGAGAGGTTTTATCGCCCACCTGGGTGTGCCTACTGGAGAGGTTTGTTTCCTCCGAGACCGTAAAGCTGCCCCCTTGATTTATCGGCCCCTTCTCCCAAATCCGATTAAATATAGGATTTCTGCAGGATCCCCAGCCCCGCTCCCTGGGCCGGCTCCCGCAGAGCACCGGGGCCGAAGCAGGCAGGACAAACAACCCCAGCGAGGGCTGCCAGTCCCCTTGATTTACAGCCCAGCCCTGCTTTATGGGGGCTTTGCATTTTTGCTCTTGCTTTTTTCTATTCCTGCCTCTCGTTGTCCCGGGGGCCATGTCCCCCTCCTGCTCCCACCTTCCCCGTCTGTAGGAGTCTAGGTATAGGCAAGGCCAGCCACTGCTGGGGGTGGCCCATAATTCACCAGCCAAGGCCAACCAACCTGCCATGGGTTTGTCCTGTGTTGGGACTGGATAGGGAGAGTTGATCTCCCCACCCGTGCACCCCATGCTCATGAGTATCAGGGTGGGGGCAGGGAGAGCCCACTGGAGCATCTGCTTCGGGAGACGGGGCTGGGGCAAGTGTTTGATGGGGGTGGGCTGGTGCTCTGGGGCACCAGTGGGCAGTGAGGGGGAGGGGGGATCACCTGCTTCTGATTAGGCCTCATGCCACCCCACTCTGCCCCACAAGGTGCCCATCAGGCCACCCCTGCTGGGTTAATGGCTAGAGCAGGTGCCCTGGCAGCTGATGGGGAGATGTGGGGGCAGAGAATCAGCTTGGTGGGCATGTGGGTGCGGCTTGGACTGCTGGCTGCCCCACCCTGACCCTGGCTGGGAGGAGGGGAATGGAAAACGCAAATATAAAGAGAGGGAGGGAAGGCTTGTAGCAAAGAGACTGGGCTGGGGTGCAGGACACCTGGGTTCCATCACCCTCTCAGCCCCCAACTCCCCATGTGTTAGGGTGACCAGATGTCCTGATTTTATAGGGATGGTCCTGATATTTGGGGATTTTCTTAATTAGGCACCTATTACCCCCACCCCATCCCGATTTTTCACACTTGCTCTCTCGTCACCCTACCATGTGTCCTGTGGCCGGTCACCGAGGGACAGAGCTTCTCAAGTGCTCAGTGTCCAGCACTCCCATGGTTCCCAAAGAGGTGCAGGGGGGGAATTCTCCATTGTTCTCAAGGGGACGCAGATACACTCATTCCCCCACCCCCCATTCAACTGGGGGTCTCTGCGCAGCACCCCAGCCTGGGGAGATGAAAGGGTGCCCCCTAGTGGAGCTGGTGGGAGCTGCACTTGCAATGGGCTCCATTACTGCTGGAGTGACCCCGGCTGACCCACCAAGGGACTCAGCTGGGAGCCCCGGAGATCAGTGCTGGAAGGTGCCAAAGCTGGCTGGGGCTGAGGAACCAGCAGCCGTGGTCCAGACAGGCAGCCCCCAAGCAGAGCCTGCCATAGCCACCGCAGGAGATGTTCCAGGCAGGGCTGCCCTTGAGGCCTGTAGACAGCTGGTGGGGGTGGGAGGGAGCCCACCTGCTGGTGGAGAAGGGGGCCAGCTTGGTGGGCCTGGAGACTGCAGTCCTGTATCTCAAGCAGGGGCAACTGCTCCCCAACACAGTGTGGCTGGGCAGGGGGAGGCAGATCATTCAGCTCTCATGCCAGGAAGTGAGTGTGGAAGGATTGTTCATGTGTGTGTGTGAGAGAGAGAGAGAGAGAGAGAGAATATGCTTCCTTCTGTTGGCCAGAGACCCAGAAGGCATCTAAACGCCTGAACCCTGGAGCTGGACAAAATGCCCGTAACAACGTTTCTTGGTTTTGGTTTGTCTGTTTCATGGCTGCTGAAACAGAAGCTACTTCCCCAAAACAGCAGTATCCTAGGGGAAATCCCCATGGATTTAGGGGGCTCCCTGGTGATTAGTGAGCCCCAGCTTTAGTTGAAGGGGTGGGAGTGTGTGGGGGGTGTGTGAAATTTTAGAAAAGACCCTCTTTCCCCAGAGTACTCTTTAGGCATCTGAGTTAAACAGGCTGCTAATAAAGCTAAAGACTGTTCCACACTCTTGGCAGGGCCTTCCCTTCCCCAGGGCCCTAATTCCAGCCTCTCACAAAGTCATAAACTCACAGGCTGTCCTGTTGCCACAGGGTCTTCCAGAGAGGCTGAGACCTGAATTGCTACAGTTGAGGTCAAGAAGCTGCCTCCCTGCTCACTTTGGGCAAAACCCGCTCAGGCCCCTTCCTCCATCAGAAAAACATGTAAAAGCACCGATTTCCACTGGGATTTTCAACTATCCAGAGTCAGGAACCACTTCGGTGGGCCTTTAGTTTCATGAACGTGTCTCTGTGCAGTATTTAAATGCTAGGGACAACCACAAGGTCCTGAGGAACTTTTATTAGCAGCTATTATTATCTGTATTGTGGTAGAACTTGGAGGTCCCAGCTGAGACTGAGTCCCATTGTGTTAGGTTCTGCACAGACACAATCCCTCTACCAAAGACCTTACAAGGCAGACAAAGGGTGGGAGAGGAAACTGAGGCACAGGATGGGGCAGTGACTGATCCAGCAACTCAGGGGCAGAGCCAGAAACAGAACCCAGGTGTCCCAACTCCCACCACAGTGCCCTAGTCACCAGACCATACTGCCACTAGCAGTTATATCCCAGAGCAGCAGATATGATTAGCAAGGACAGTGGCTAACTGGAAAAAGAAGGTTGGATTTCAAGAGGGATGGAGCCACCATGGGACTCAGGAATGCAAGCTGGGCCAGGGTCATTACCAGGCCTCTCAGCTGCAACACCAGCCTCTATCTGCAGTGACCCTGACTCTGGGCCCTGAATTTTCACTAATACTTGCAAATGCGTGGCTTGATTTGCAGGAATCAGTGAAAGCTGTGGCCACCCTGCACCTGCCAGGACATTTAGGGGCCTAAATAGGAATTTAGGGGTCTAACTTTAACCCCCCCACACCCCGCCAGTTTTGATGTCAGTTAATGGAGTTTGCAGTATGCAGTTCAGAGCACTAGGGGGAGAACTGGAGCACATGCAGGGACGGTGGGTTACAGATAATGGAGGTTTCTGCCATAAAGACTCCATATATGCAGGGTGTGTAGCTCAAAAGCTTGTATTACTTCACCCACCTTGTCTCTATAAAGATGCCATCTCAACCCAAGCAGCAGGCCTGGAAAGGGGGCACAAGGAGCCGGGATATCTCTGTTGCCCTGATGTGCTCAGCCCTTTCTGCATGGACACGCATAACCCTGCCCTGCTGGGAGGACTTGATCCTGGACTCAAATTCTGGAGGGTGATTTTACGCTTTTTACTCTGATTTTTCTTTTCCCTTTGGGTGCACCAGGTTTCATCCCGAGGCCGGTATTGTATGAAAAGCTAGATAATCCCCAGAAGAAAATACCCCCTACCTGGGCACCGCTTACCAAGCTTTAGCTCTACTCCTGTTGGGCAGATAGCATTATGCAGATGGTGCCTGATCCAGCAGATGGCATTGTACTCCCCCATGCAATACGGTCCCTGGGCCAGAGGGCAGAGCTACAGTATGACCTGCTGTATTGCCCCTGGATCAGTAGGAGGCACCTGCAGTACTGCCCTGGCTCTGTAGGGGATGCTGCACTCACCTGCAGTATCCCCCCCAAGTCAGTAGGGGGCGCTGCACCCCGTACTTCTGAGCCTCGGCCAACAGGTGACGCTGCGCCGACCCCTCTGTAGTACCGCTCCATGGCCTGCTGCTGGCGCGGCGCCCTCCAGTAGTACCGCCTCCCGGTCAGCAGGTGGCGCTGTGGCACACAGCGCGAGCTGTTCCTGGGACCTTCCTGCCGGGCGGACGCTCTGGGCGCTCCCCGCTCTCTCTAATACCCCTCGTTCGCCGCCGAGTTCCCGCCTGCCGCGGACGTCACTTTCTGGGCCGCGTTGTGGTCCCGCGCATGCGCAGAGACCCTTCTCTCTTTGCCCTTCCTCCTCGAGCACCGGGTAAGGAGGACCCGGGCCCGGGTGGGGCGGCCTGGCCTGGCCTGGCGAGGCCCCTGGTGCTGGGAGAGTGGAGGGGCTGGGGGCGATGGCGTAGGGGGAGAAGGCTACGGGTGTGGGGGGAGGGGCTTGGGGGTGAAGGCTGGAGGGGAGGGGCCGGGGCGAAGGGGGGAGAAGGCTGCGGGTGTGGGGGGAGGGGCTGGGGTGAAAGTGGCAGGGGAAGGCTGGAGGTGTGGGGGAAGGGGAGGGGCTGGGGTTGAAAGTGGCGGGGAGGGAGAAGGTAGGGGTGTGGGGGAAGGGACTGGGGGGAAGGGGAGGGGCTGGGGTTGAAAGTGGCGGGGAGGGAGAAGGTAGGGGTGTGGGGGAAGGGACTGGGGTGAAGGGGTGGGGCTGGGGTGAAGAGTGGAGAAGGCTTGGGGTGGGGGGGAGCTGGAGTTGGGATCCCTGTTTGACTGGGGTTGGGCTGTGGGGGAGGGAGGTAGCTGCCTAGCCTGGAGGAGGGGTACTAGGTGGCTATATGTTGGGCTAGGTTTGGGATCCTCTGGGCTCTTCTCCTCCAGGGTTTGGCCTGGGCTCCTGTTCTCCCCTGCCTCCTGCTGGATGTGCCCAAGAGGGGAAGCCACTGCTGAGAAGTAAATGACAAACCCCTGCCAGTTTGCTTTAATTATTCAGCCCCCCACACCCTTATCTGTTGGTGGGGTCTGGTCTCGATCTGTAGACTGGAGGTGGTACTGATCTTTATTGCAAGGGGCCCACAAGGCCATTTTTATTACAATTGAGGCCCCAATTGTCCTGGGTGCTGAAGAGACAGCCCCTGCCCTGAAAAGCTTACAGTCTAAACACACAGTATGAGAGGGACAGTGGCTTGCCCAGAGTTGCCTATCAGATCGGTAGCAGAACTGGGAGTAGAACTCAGGTCTCTGGGTTCCTAGTCTAGTGCACTACCCACTAGACCACTCTGTTTCTCCTTAATGCTTATCACGAGCTTGAGGATCCTTGGATGAAAAGTGCTTGGGACACGCAGAGTATTCATGTACATTGAAAATGACTTCGGGGATCTGAGAGTCACTGACCGCTTGTGTGCAGGAGTTAATGGGCCATTCCCATCTCTAACTTATTTGATCGTGAGTGTTAGAAGCCTGAGGGAAACTTAATGCAAGTGCTCCTGGGGAATTGTTTGACTCAGCCACACAAGTCCTGGATGAAGGGGGCTCTGCTACTGGGGGCTTGGAAGGAGTCCCAGAACCCGAGGATGGTTCTGGATTAGGGGATGGGACATGAAGATGCTTTGTTGTCTCCTGAGAAACTCCAAAGCTCTTTACAAAAGCAAATGACTTGAGTTTTACACTCTACACAGAGTAGGTAAATTATATCCCCATATGGGAAAACTGAGACAGAGTGATTTCCGTATGATTGAGTGGGAAGTAGAACCCAGATGTCCTGAGTCCCAGATCACACAGGATCCTGATGGGTTTTTCCCATCATATCTGTGAGTCTTTCCATTCTAGTATGGTGCCAGTGCTTTAAAGCTCAGCCAAGCTGTGGGTATTGGTCTCTGGTAGCTGAGCTGCCTATCTTATGTATTTTGTGGTAGCTCTTAACAGCCTCAGTCATGGACCAGGACACCATGGTGCTAGGCACTGTACAAACAGCTGATCCCTGTCCAAAGGATCTTACATTCTAAATACTTAAAGATTTTGTGCTCTGCTTCCATTCCAGGGTCTTCGTCACTGGCCTGCACTGTTCAGCCCCTTGTGGGTTCCCATGGGATTAGCATTGCACTTTTCTGGTGCGTTTGATATTGTGCAGTTAATGGTCATACCCCCTTCTCCCACCTGTTGTCACCTCTTATGATGATCCCAGTTACCTGTCGTGGTCAATATTATCACCTTGGTAATATTATTGTGAACTTTTGGCACGTTCACTGGGAGTCCCCCACTCCCCTTTGCAGCATGTTTCTATTGCAGTGAATGATATAAATTGCAGGGTGATGTGGATTCTTAATGTGGTGGTGGTTTGGTTTCTCTTCCAGTTTTGTGACCCTCCTGCTGTCCCCGAACATGTATGCCTGTGCAAAATTCGTCTCTGCTCCTGCCCTAGTGAGTAGTGGAAAATCCCATTGTTTTTATCCATTCTAATACTAGGCATTTCTGTAACACTTTGTTTTCAACATATTAGCTAATCGTCACAGCACTTAACCCCCTGCCACATAGGTATCTCCATTGTCTAGACGAGGAAACTGAGACCCAGGTGCCTGTTGTCGAGGACACGAACCCCAGACGGCACGGTTCGTTCTCTGACCGGAGAGATACAGGCAACACCAGCAACGTCCGAACACAAAGCTCTTTACTGAAGAGTGCACACAACAATAGAGAGCAGCCCGTCTCCAAAGAGAACCAGCCGGCCTCTAAGTAAAACTCATAGGGTTTTTATAGACCGTTCCGTCGCGTCACAAATTTATTCATAAAGCAGCCTACCCCCCCACATTAGTTAAAATCCTCTTTCTTTATATGCATGCACATCTACCCCTCTTATTGTAGATAACTTTTAGCAAATCGTAGTGCTTCACTAACTTTCTTATTGGTATGGGTGTCAACCAGGAGACGAGTTAAAACAGACATAACACAAGAGCAGGGAATGGAAAACAGTGCCTCTGTATCTCAAGGACTGTTCCCAGCACATTTGGTACAAAAATGCAGGAATGCAGGCCTCCCCTTTTTTTCTTACTCCCTACAACTTAAACAAGTATTCTTTTATTCTATTTATCTCGTTCAGGGACTTTCCCAGCAACCTTTATTGGCCTGACTTTGGTTCGGTTGGCATAACTGCTTCATATTTAATTTTTCTCACCTAACAGTCCCCCCTTTGTCCCTAGAGTGCCATAGGGGAACTCTTGGGACATACTGGTCTCTGTGTGGAGTGACTTAAAAATATTCACTGGTTGGTAGGGCACAGCTTGGTACCCATCCAACAGCCACATCTTAACATAACATACAAAATTATTAGGCCACAAACAATTACAACGGCACCGCAAAGCACGTTATGTAACCAGCCACCTATATCTGGAACCCAGTTGAACAAATTGCTTCACCGCGAGTTGACTCGCTCTCCTCCATGGTCTTTTGCAACTTGCATAAGGTGGTTTGCTCTTTCCCAGGTGGCGTTATAAACGTCCGGAACATATACACAGCATTCTTGCCCAATTAACGCACATGTTCCTCCCTGAGAGGCCAGCAAAATATCTAATGCCAAGCGGTTTTGGAGAACCATCTGCCTTAGTTTTTTTTGTTCGGTTGCCAAATCTACCAAGGCATCGGCAGTAGTATTTGCCATTATCTCCAACACTCCCTGAAATCTCATGACTCCTTCCCCAATACACCTGGTGGCACCTCCACAGGCAAAGACAAATCCTGCACAAGCACCCATCCAATCATTTAGGGCATGCCAAGTAAGGGGGCGAGAGTCATTTGCATCTTCCTCAGCCCCTTTTACATTCTTGATTTTTCCCTTTAGGGAGACGTGTGCGGTATACTACAAGTGGTTCTAATCAAGCCAACTAGCAGGATCCACTCCATGAAGGAGGGAGGGCTAGGTATGCCTTGTTACCACACACCCAGTATTCTCCAAAAAGGGTAGGAGTGACTTTGGACCAGGTATTATTAATACGTTTGTACCATCCGGTCCAAGATGGGAGGGAGAATTTAGCCACGGAGGCATTAGAGGAACATAAACACATAGTATGAGTTGGCAGGTTATACCCAAGCGTGCAATTTATAATGTAATGGTCAATCAACTTTATACAAAAAATGTTCTTCCCCATGCAGACTGCACTTGTTACCCGCAAATCTATACCACGCGGAGGTGCAAGAGGTTGCCCCATCTGGGGGAAAGAGAGATTAGGACCTCTTTTACTCTCGAAATGAGTGCCATTAAAGTAGGCTGTGTACTCGCTATTACCCAAAGCTATTTTCCCTTCTCTTAAGAGGCACCATTGACCAACTCGTTTCCAAACTATTAGATACCTGCTTTCAGAGATGCCGGTATCAGCCCAGGTAATATTTAAATTGCCTGTAGAATCCTTCCAGGATGGGGTCCAGGTCATATTCATTGCACTAAGGGGAATAGGAACCATGGGAAGACCTTTGTGGCTATCTGCTGGTATTAATGAGCACACCCAGCATGAAGTGTTTTGTAGGGCTGGCATACGATATTTCATTTCATGGGCAAGACGTATAAATGTGTTAGAACGGTGTGATTCTATAGTCTCAACTCCCCGTACCACCAGAAAAGAAAGATAACAAATACTAAACCGATTAAAAACACAAGAACCCAGCTTAAAGAATGGGGCCATCTTTCCCTGAGAGGACACCACCAAATCAAGGGTTTTTTAGCTGCAGCCGGAGCTTCAGGTCGCCGAAAGGGGTAGCAGTCCATTTGTCTTGAGCACAGATGTTGTCTGCTTCTGATTCACCCGGTTCATGGTGGGGTGAATGTGCGTGGCTCCCTCAAAGTCCGAAGCTGTCTGCTTCTGGGGAACCTTTTTCCAGGTCAGGTTCCCTAGCGGTGCAATACAGGTTAGCTCTGTCAGTGGACAAGGGAGAGGTTACTAGCACTTCACCTTGTTTTTTCCCCTGCTGTCCAAAAGGAGGAAAGACCAAAACCCCAGAAGGAGGGATAGGCTGATCAGTAGTCGAAGTGAAGTCATCTTGAGGTGGAGGGGTCTTTTTGCAGTAAGAAGCACGAGTCCAGGCAGTCAGTCCTCGACACTGTAGTGTCCCATGAAGTGAGCGGCAAAGCTAGGAATAGAACCCAGGAGCCCTGACTCCTAGTCTTGTTCTCGGACATTCTGCCTCTAGGGGAGTACATTGGGGGGAAAAAAAAGTAGATTTCACGTCAGTCTGTATCTGCTTAAAGTAAGGGTAGCTAAACCATGGCCAATATGCTGCATGGCCAGCCTCATTATCAATATGGAGGTGAGGACTGCGGGTATTACTGATGCTGGGAACTGTAGTCGCCACAGACCACACTTCAGTATCAAAGATGACCGTAGCTGCTGTCTACATCTTATGCAAAATAGTTGGGGCTCTTAGCCAGTTACCAATGAATCCCTCGGCACCATAGTTCAGTGGTAACTTGCCCTCGACAGGCCAGATAATTGTAACCTTTTCCTATTAGCTACTAATTAGCTGGGTGGCATTTCCTGTCTCTGGAGGTGTAATAAAACTTCCTTCTGAGCTAAGCTGCCTGCTGCAACGTTGGGGCTGCCAACCCATTAGACTTGTAACTGGCTGCTGGCTCTCAGTAATGCTGCCCTGGTGTCAGTCTGCCTGCCCTTAGGGCCTGCATGTCAGGACTTGGTTATTCCCACAACACGCTTCAGTGTCAAGGGATCCTTAACCATGCCTAGAGCTCTGCTCCACCCAAGGCTGGGGCACATCTCAGACACGCTTGTGTACACTGACCTGCAGAGCTATGTTGTGGAGATCTGCTCCCCTACCACAGTGTCCTACTGTAGATGGGCCCTGCTTGGCTACATCCTTCACGCCAGCTTCAGTAGCCGGACACTAAGTGAATCCCTCCTCTGATCTGAGTTCGGTCCAGATGGCTACAACAAATACAGCCACCCCAGCCTCCTGTTTCATCAGCTCATAGGTGAGGAGGGAATCACTGATTAACTGGAGGTGCTTCCTGCTAACTCTGTGCTAGCCTGGGGTGGCAAGTGCCAGCAATAAGGTGATCCCCTGGTAAACAGGAAGCACGCTCCATTTTCCATCGAATTGTGTAGCGTCTCGTGGCTTGTCTACACTTACCGGGGGATTGCGCAACGATCGATGTATTGGTGGTCAGTTTAGCAGATCTAGTGAAGACCCACTAAATCAACCGCAGATTGTTCTCCCGTCAACTCCTGTACTCCACCGGATCGAGAAGAGTAAAGGGAGTCAACGGGAGGGCGTCTCCCCTCGATATCGCGTGCCGTGGTCCCCCTAAGCTACGTCAACTTGAGTTATGCTATTCACGTAACTCAAGTTGTGTAGCTTAGATCAACTTTTAACTGTAGTGTAGACAAGGCCTCAGTGAGAGAGGGCTGGTTCTTGGATGGTGCTTGTCTGCCCCAGGTAAGTGACTGTCCCCTGTGTCTCCTGGTTCAGTTCCCCTCTCCTCCCTTCTGTGTTAGTCTTGTGTTGGGGTTCCAGTAGGGCATAAATTCACATTGACTGTGGCTGGTTTCCAGGTAATGGTTACTTGCTGTCATAGTTATTCAGTCAGCTCCATGGGCAAGATTGATCAGGATTACCTTCCAAGATGGACTGTCTTGGGCCATACGGGTCCATGAGGAGGCAGCATTTGGGGTAACCTTCATCTTTTGTGTTGTCTTAGCATGGACTGTGCTGTGGGAACAGAGAGAGGCTTGAGAACAGTGCTTAGTTTGTGCCAGGGCTGAGCCCTGGCACCTCTGGGCTTGCCACATCAATTATGAAAGTAAAAAATATTGCATGAGCCCTGACATCTTTCATTACAAATTAAGCACTGCTTGAGAATGTTTGGTTTGGAACGTATTAAAACAGGAAGTGGCAACACGATGCCAGTGCCGCTACCAAGCGTGGGGATTCCTGCTGCCCTCGGGGAAAGTACTACCATTCCTCTACCCCACAGCAGAGACATGGAGTGCCACATTCAGCTATGGAGTCAATGGCAATTGCTTCCACTTATGCCAGAGTTAGATTTGACCCAGAGAACTGCTGCAGGGCATTCATGGCCTGAGTTCTGAAGATTCCACCCCTTCCAGGATCAGGCTGTCCACCCAGCCACTGGAGGGACCTTCATGCAGATGATCTGCAGAAGACATCCCGTCTCGACTCTTGGAGCAACAGCTGCTCTGGTGTCCCTGAAAATAATTCAGTCACTCTGCATTGGGCCAGCCCCAGCTAACAACTGGGGGAGAGCCTGGCACACTTTGGGCGCTGTGTAAATGCTGCGGCCCCCTGCAGAGCTGCAAGGTGGGGGAAATATTGCTCCAGTTCCTTTCCAGTGACCTCTCAGTCTCCACATAACTCAGCTGACAGGTTTGCAGGAAGCTGGCGCTGGGTATCTGGTAGGGATTGTATTGCATTGCCTCTCTGGGCAGAGCGTTTCCGTCTGAATGATTACTTTGTCTGTCTGCAGGTGAGGAACAGCTCGAGGCTGCTGTGCAGACCAGTCTCTGCCTCCCTGCTGAGCAGGCCGGAGACCAGGACAGATGAGGTAAAACGCTGAGCTTGGACCATGAAAATGGAGAGGATCGTCGGAGCTTGAATTGACTTAACCATTGGGTCCAGCAGGGGGCGTGCAGAACAAATATTCCACTCCATAGCTTCTTTGACTAGAGCAAAGCTGGGGGGTGGAAATCCCTGCTGGGTGAGGAGACTCAGCTGGGCTGGCTTGCTCTGTCGGGCTTCTGGGCTTAATCGCTCAGGGAAGAATCATAAAGCAAAAGGAAAATCTGGGCAACGGAAGAAAGCATGTTAACAGTGCTGCAAGCTCTCCCTCTGGAAAGGGATTGGTGATTCAGTAGGAGGTGCTCTTCCTTGCAAGTCAACTCTGAACCAATCCCCCAGCATGGGGCTAGAGTGCGCTGTGCTGCTACAAGCTGTATTAGGCAGAATACTGAGAATGGGACCCAAGTCCTCTGGCACATGCAAGGAGGTTAGCCCTGGAGTCCCGGCCAGCTCTCAACTTGTACTTAGTCTGCGTCCACAAATTGCTCACCTGGGCTCAACTGAGAAGTCACTTCCTGACCAGAAGTGTTCTACACTGCTAAACAGCTGCCAAATTCCACCCCAGCTATGGCTGCAGTTCAGTGGTAGGTGGAACTTCATAGAAGGATCATGTATTAGAATTAAAATGTGTAAAGCACTTTAGTGCCTTTCACTTGAAGGATCCCATAGAAAGGGGCCGGGGGGAAGACGCAGCAGGAGCACTAGACGGCTGTAAACCCAATATCTCAGGAATGCTTCTAGGCCAGTGCTTTATAATGCTGGAAATCCAGCTCGCCAGTAGTTTTAAGGCATTCATTTCCAGGCCTAGCAAGTCACAGGACCTTCTCTTACTAAAACCCCAGGGAGATCAGAATTGCCCCTCCAAATGGGGAAACTGAGGCACCAAAGTGAAGCAATTTCCTGAGGTTACAAGGAGAGCTGAGCTTACGTGGCTCCCAGTTCTGTGGCTCAGTGCACTAAGTATGCCCCTCTCTTTAGCCTAACTCACAACCTCACCCCTCTAGAGGCCCATGAAGTCAGCTCTCCAACCCATGTGAGAAACTTGGGTTCTTGTCGTCCTTAGTCTGCTCAGTGCAGATGTTTCCATGGCAATGCCCTGGTAGAGAGCTGGCAAAAAACACTTCTAGAGCTCCATCTCCAGCTGAATTTCACTCTCATCTCTTCAACTTATCCTAGCTCGGCTCCACCCCAGTGCCCCAGAATGCCCTCCTCCAAGCCTTGCGCCGGGAGCTCCACACCAGCTCCATCTCCCGGGACATTGACACTGCGGCGAAGTTCATCGGTGCCGGTGCTGCCACAGTTGGGGTAGCCGGCTCTGGTGCTGGCATTGGAACCGTATTTGGCAGCCTCATTATTGGCTATGCCAGGTAAGGAATTAGCCTGTATCAGTTAGCTCTTCCCCTGCTTTAACCATGTCCCCTGGCTTGCTTACAGCTGGTGCAGGCAGGGCCTGGGATGGGGTATCAAGCAGACCACGGGCCAAATCTGGACAACCAGATCCTTTTGAAATGGACTCTGAAATCTTTTTATTTATTTATTAGTTATTGATCTATTTTTTTCTCTCTCTCTGGAGTCGGGTCCTTGGTTATATTTTGACCAAGAAATTTGGACCGTGACAAAAAATGATTGACATCTGGCTAGGACTTCCCAGTATGAGCCCCTGAGCGGGTATGCAAGTGAAAGCAAGACCCATCAGAGCGGTTGTAACGGAAAGGCTGATAAGAGTGAACCCAGTCTCCTGCTCTTCCTGTGCATCCATGTGGGACTTGGATTCTTTAAGCTCTTCTGTGCAGCCTCAGCCTGTTAAGATGGCAGCTCCTTATGTGAAAGCCCTCTTTAAAAGGAATGGTGATTGATTCCGCTGAACCTGGATACAGTGCCTAGTCTGTTACAGTCCCCTGGGCCTTTGCTCTCAATCTTGGCCAATGCTCTTGGCATTGTCAGTGGAAGGGACCATCAACTGTCCATGAGGAGCATTTCTAAATTGGTCTGACCACTCCTTTGTATAAGCAGGAGATTTGGGGTAGGAGCAGGACTGCTGAGGACTCTTACTGAGTATCAAGCCCTTCCTGTCTAGGGCACAGATTCAGATCCAGCCTGAAATCTGTGGGTCAAATGAATCTGGTGGGTTTCAGTTTCATCCTTTATGGGTGGGAATGCCCCCTCCCGGCCAGCTCTAGTGGATGTTTTTGAATGGGCCGTGGAGGCCAAACTTCCACTAAGAGGGGTCATTGTTGGGCAGGGTGGGGCATGCTGTAGGGGACACTGGGAAAGCTTGCCCTGGCACTGTCCCCTGCTATGCCTCTACTGTGGAGTCTCCAGAGCAGTCAGCCTGGTGCTGAGTTCACATCCTCTCCTCCGCAACACGGGCTGTCCCAAGGAGCCTGTTGGTGTCTCTGAAACAAAGTGGGATTTTCCCACTTCCTCCTGCTGTGGAGCTCTCTCTAGTGGTCAGGGTGGGTTTTGGTTTCTTACCGTTACCAGTGGTGAGCTGGAGCCGGTTTGCTGGAACCAGTTGCGCGGGACAACCGGTTCTAAAAGGGCTTCTAAATTTAACAACCAGCCAAAAGTGGCGCCTTAGACACCGACTCCATGGGTGCTCGGGGCTGGAGCACCCACGGGGAAAATTTGGTGGCAGCTCCCTGCCTGGCCCCAGCTCCCCTCTGTTCCACCTCCACCTCCTCCCCTGAAGGCACCACCACGCTCCTCCCACCCCTGCATCCCCCAGCTTCCCGCAATCAGCTGTTCACGTGGGAAGCCTGGGAGGGCTGAGAAGCAGGCAGCAGCTTCGCCCTCAGGCCCAGGGAGGCAGAGGTGACCTGGGGCGGGGAGCAGTTCCCCTGTGCGCGCCCCACCCCCGGGTTACCTGCTGCGGTGCAGGCGGCCCTCCTTGCATCCCCAGCTCGCTTCTGCCTCTTATTCCCTGGGCCTGAGCGTGAAGCCACTGCTTGCTTCTCAGCCCCCCCACCCCTGCTTCCCACACAAACAGCTGATTTGCAGGAAGTAGGGGGTGGGGGGACGAGAAGCAGAGCAGGGAGGAGGTGGAGTGGAGGTGAGGTGAGCTGGGGGGCAGGGGGAGCTGTCGGTGGGACACCCACCAAATTCTCCCTGTGGGGGCTCCAGCCCTGGAGCACCCGCAGAGTCGGTGGCTAACGCGCCACTTTTGATGTGATCAGTGTGGGGAGCAGCCGCTTCTCCCCCCTCCCCACCCCGCCCAGCTACGCTACCCCGCCCCTAGGAGCCAGAGGGACCTGCCGGATGCTTCCTGGGAGCCGCCCTAAGTAAGCACTATGGAGACTGCCCACTTTGCCCCCCGGCAGGCCCTTCTGGCTCTTAGGGGTGGGGCGGGGTGGGCACCCACTACGGTGACCCACAAGACTCTCCTGTCCAGTCCTCGGGGCAGTCAGGGGGGAGGGGAGTGGATGGGGCAGGGGCGGGCCATGACCCTCTCATGGGGTGAGGAGGGAACCGGTTGTTAAGATTTTGGCAGCTCATCACTGTTTAGCTCATCACCCTAAACCCATAACACTGGGATTTTTGTCAGCACTATGTGCTAATCCCAGTGCTGTTGCCCAGCACTGAGAGAGCAGGGGACAGGTGTAGGCAGCAAGTCAGGCTTCTTTCAGACCATCACATGTCTGTCAAATACATGAATTTGGGACTCTTGAATGTAAAGACCCATCTGGAGTGAATCTAGGATTCAACCATCTGGGAGCTCCTCTGTAGCCAGCCATCATTACACTGCCCCCTGGTGGGAGAGGCTGGGACTGCACTAGCCTTAGTGCTCCCAGACTGTTCTCTCCCCATGACTCTGCATTGTAGTGATTTTCTCCCTCTGGCCAGGAGGAGCTGTGCTTGGCTCCCTTCAAAGACTGCCCTGGGGATCAGCCAGAGGGGGTTGATCAAGAGCAAAGTACCTCATGGGCCATTAGGAGCTGGCAATGCTTTACCTTACTGTTGAGCAGCCCCCTCTGGCTGATGCCAAGAGACATCCTGCTCTCCCTCCATGCACATTGGTGTATCTGACTCTTGGGCTGCTGTGCCCAGCCCTGCAGCATGGGGGATGCTCACTATGCTCCCACATGCTTCACTGACTGGTGCTTTCTTCCTCCCCTCACAGAAACCCTTCCCTGAAACAGCAGCTGTTCTCCTACGCCATCCTGGGCTTTGCACTCTCCGAGGCCATGGGGCTCTTCTGCCTGATGGTGGCTTTCCTCATCCTCTTCGCCATGTGATGGAGCCAGCTTCCTGCTGTGTGTTCCTCCTGTGTCTAGTCTATTGTGAGCGGTTGTGAATGTCCTAATGCAGGTGGGGGTATCCCTGCCTCCTAACCAAATCTGTCTGGCCCAGCCCTGATTGAGGGAAGGTGAATAAATACTGTATTGAAATACAGAATGTAGCTTCTTGGTGTGTTCTTGGCATACAGGGAGCCAGTTAGGCCGCTTCCTCTATGTATGTGCACTAAGGTGACCAGACAGCAAGTGTGAAAAATCGGGATGGGGGTGGGGGGTAATAGGAGCCTATATAAGAGAGAGACCCAAAAATCGAGACTGTCCCTATAAAATCGGGATATCTGGTCACCCTAGTGTGCACCCACCTGCGAGCTGATACTTGTACCTGCAGCCATGCTGCCTAGGGCTGTGCTCTGGGTAGACCTTGGTAAGATAAGGAGGGCGAGGCCTTGGCCCTGGGGGAGCTTTTAGGTGCTGCAGGACTTCGGATGGGTGACTCAATAGGGGGCGTGCTCTCTTCTCAGAGTGGTGGGAGGTGCTGGTGAGCTTCAGAAAATAACATCTGAGGTTCTGACCATCTGTGGTCAAGTTCCCAGGCTACTTTCCCACTAGAATCGGGGTGTCTAATCCTTGTGTCCTGGCCAAATTCCAGCTCTAGTCTTTCTTCAGGCTGACTCCCTTGTAATGGCACTTGGACACAGCAATCCCTTCAGTCCCAGGCACCTCCCCCCACCCCGCAGTCCAGAACAATCAGCATAAACAAAGATTAAAGTTGTTCATTGTTCTTGCTAAGAAGTGCCCATTAGGGAAGGAAGGGCATTCCCAGACTCTGGCCCCTCACAACACTTGGGCTCTGAAAGCCAAGCTGGGTTTTCTCTTCCTCTGACAACATAGTGGATAAGAAAGGATCCACAGTGAGAATGGCGGGGCGAGGGTGATGCTGCTCTGAATCTGTGCATGCTCCTGATGCCAATAGGTGCCAGTCTGTGGAAACCTAGTGAAATACCTCGGTCTAGGGAAGGGTCTGCATAACTGGTGCAGAGAGGCCTTTGCCTAAAACACCCCTGGCAAGAATGGAATACAAAGCAGGGATGCTAGGAATTGCAGGTGCTCTAGCTCAGGTGCTCCAGTTCTACCATAAGCTACTGGGTTCAGTGCAGAACTCCCTGGGCTATGTTCTGTGTCATGAGGCTCCCTCTGTCTCTGGGGTCTTCGCAGCACCTAAATGTTGGGGAAAGGCAACTCAGCCTCTTAACCTGCTTCAAAGAAGCAGCCACTCTGCTATGAACTGAAATGGAATCCATCTGCATGGCCACAGGGACTGTCTGACAGCATAAGCTCAGGGCTATAGCCTTGGGGACACTCAAAGCTTGAATCAAGTTAGCTGTAGAGAGGGTGTATTCAAAATGCCTAGCCAGAGGGCACTGGCATAACTCATTGGCTGTGCTGTGATAGTCCACCCTGGGGTACTGGAATGCTTAATGTCTACACTGGCAATTGAATGACAAAACTTTTGTCTTTCAGTGGTGTTAACCCTTTTCCCACCCACCCCCCAAAAGACAAAAGTTTTGCCACACCAAGTGCCAGTGTGAAGAGATATCAGAGTGGTAGCCGTGTTAGTCTGTATCAGCAGAAAGAACGAGGAGTCCTTGTGGCACCTCAGACACGAACAAATTTATTTGAGCATAAGCTTTTGTGGGCTAAAGCTTCATCCGATGAAGTGAGCTGTAGCTCACGAAAGCTTATGCTCAAATAAATTTGTTCGTCTCTAAGGTGCCACAAGTCCTCCTTGTTCTTTCAATGTGAACAGAGCGTTGTTGGCAGGGGAGCGCTGTCAAATGCTGCTCGTTGGGGGTAGAAGTTTTTTGTCAGCAGGTGAGCTGACAAACAGGGCTACGCTGCGTGACTTTTAGCAGCACAGCGGTGGTGACACAGGCGTGTCGCTAAAAGCTGTGTAGTGCAGTCATAGCCAAAGACTGGGCATCAGGCAGAGTTGGGGATGAACCCTGGCCCCAAACTTGATGCTTTCCAAACACACACACATAAGCAAGCTTTCTGTCTCTGAAGAGCTTGTCTTGATGTGACACAAAGCAGCAAACAGGACAAGATCGGTCCAAAATCCACAGCGAAGGAGTATCTATGGGAGGCTGTTCCCACTGTGGGAGCTGCAGTGAAGTAGGTAGGAGAGTATCTGGGGTGATGTCCGACAGCAAAAGAAGACAGTGAGACTAGTCTTTCCTGGGCCCTGTGTGGGGAGCTATGCCTGGCTGCTGCCTGCCATCATACAGCTGGAGCTATGGATCTGCTCAGGGATAATCCAGTGCTGTGCTAGTAGGAGGAAAATGAGTCGGGGGAGCTAGCAGAGGAGCTGGGAGAGTCTTGCCTCCCATTTAGCCCCTGTCCAGGCTCGTTTAGGTTATAAATGGGAAGGGCAGCTTCCCAAGGTGTGTTTGCTGGGCAAATCCAGGCTCTGAGTTCAGCAGTCCAAATACTTCCAGGGTGGTTGGCAGCTGCTGAGACAATTCCAGCTGGAACCAGCCTAGCTGCACATTCCTTCGTGGCTGCCTTGTGCAGTCTGCGCTGGTCAGTCTTCAACCAGCAGCGTGGGAGGGAGACAAGTTGGAAGCAAGAGGATTTGCTAGCCCTCAAAGGTAGGGGCCTACCTCCCCAGAACCGAGTCAGTAATTAGTGAATTAGCTATGCAGTGCCAATCCTGTGCTAGCTGCTAATGACACCTTGTACTTAGAACCCTGCCTGGGAAGCATCTCCCCCTCTCCCTGTGGCAGATAATGTGCTACACTTGCACTGTAGTGGGGAAAGTGAGGCAAAGAGTGGAAGAGACATGCCCTAAGGTCTCCAAGGGAGTAGAAGCCAGCTCTCCTGCCTTGTGGGCCTGTGTCTCAACCTTCCCCCTGGCAGCAGGCTGGTGCCCTCTATGAGTCTGTGCAGGACGTGGTCTCAGTCGGTACATGAATGCCTCTGTCACACAAGCTGCCCTAATCACTGGCTTCCTCGCTGATGGGATCAGTGTGACTTGAATGAACCACAGGGCCGGTTTGCCCCTCACATAGACCCCCACCCCAGTGCACCCCCAATACAGGCTTGAGGCACGTTGGCTGGGCGCTGAGAAGCCGCCTACTGCCTCAGATGCACCTAGTGGGGATGGGGAACCCAGGCCCCCGCTGTGCTAAGCAGGCATCTTTCATCGTCCCTCTGTCTTGTCTTTGCCAGTGGCTGATGCTTTGAAGGCCGCTCTGGGCATGCTATTTAGGTTTCAGTATTGTGTTAATTTGCACCTGGTCAGTGCTGATGTTGGAGGGGAAGGACGGCTGCACTTTGACCTCACTCTGCTCGGAGCACCCGCAGCTCAAAGGGAAATGGCCATTGCAACAAAGCTGTGGCCACCTTGACTTGGCATGGCTCATCATGGTACATGCAACAGCCACTGGAAACTTCACAGCTAGTGCAGGCAAGGGGCAGTCTGTCTTTCAATTCTGTTTGTACACTGCTTAGCACAGAGGGGTCGTGGTCCAGGATTGGGGGTGCTAAGGCACTATAGTAATACAAATAACTCAGAGGTGGCCTTGACCAGGAACCACTTGTGAACCACTGTTAGTAGTGCAGGGCCTGTGACACACAGGCAAGTACATGTGATTCCTCTCAAAGGCCGTGGGGCATATGTAAGTCAGGATTTTAGAACTGATCATGCCTGCTGCACTCTGAACCCATTTCTCCTCCCTGCTTCTGACTTGTCTTACATCTACCTGCCTGATTTTTATCTAGGTATTTACACAGCCCTCACTGCTGTGGTATCTGATCAATGGGTTTTTCCTCACTACCAATGCTGTGAGGTAGTAAAGAATTAGCTCCATTAAACAGATGGGGAACTGAGGCACAGGGTAGATTAAGTGATTTACCCAAGATCACACCAGGCATAGGGAACAGAAGCCAGGTGTCCTCAGTCCTAGCGCATACCCTTTCTGTTGGGCCATCCTCCCTACTCATCCCTGTCTCAACACAGAATCATAGATATTAGGGTTGGAAGAGACCTCAGGAGGTCATCTAGTCTAATCTCCTGCTCAAAGCAGGACCAACACCAATTAATCATCCCAGCCAGGGCTTTGTCAAGCTGGGCCTTAAAAACCTCTATGGATGGAGATTCCACCACCTCCCTAGGTAACCCATTCCAGTGCTTCACCAGCCTCCTAGTGAAAGAGAGTTTCCTAATATCCAACCTAGACCTCCCTCACTGCAACTTGAGACTATTGCTTCTTGTTCTGTCATCTGCCACCACTGAGAACAGTTGAGCTCCATCCTCTTTGGAACCCCCCTTCAGGTAGTTGAAGGCTGCTATCAAATCCCCCCTCACTCTTCTCTTCTGCAGAGTAAATAACCCCAGTTCCCTCAACCTCTCCTTGTAAGTCATGTGCCCCAGCCCCCTGATCATTTTCGTTGCCCTCCGCTGGACTCTCTCCAATTTGCCTACATCCCTTCTGTAGTGGGGGGGACCATAACTGGACACATACTCCAGATGTGGCCTCACCAGTGCCAAATAGAAGGAAATAACCACTTCCCTTGATCTGCTGGCAATGCTCCTGCTAATACAGCCCAATATGCCATTGGCCTTCTTGGCACCAAGGGCACACTGCTGACTCATATCCAGCTTCTCATCCACTGTAATCCCCAGATCCTTTTCTGCAGAACTGCTGCTTAGCCAGTCAGTCCCCAGCTTATAATGGTGCATGGGATTCTTCCTTCCTAAGTGCAGGACTCTGCGCTTATCCTTGTTGAACCTCATCAGATTTCTTTTGGCCCAATCCTCCAATTTGTCTAGGTCACTCTGGACGCAATCCCTACCCTACAGCTTTCTACAGCAGGAGTAAACTGAGCTAAGATACCTCTTACACACACCCGGGCTGCAATTAGAGCCGCAGGGAGTACCTCCTGCTGTTGTAAACCCCACAGCTGGTCCTGAAAGCCTGGTGTTGATGTTGCTAGGGAACCAGGCTGCCTGGGTGTTTATGACAGCTTTGCCTGTGTTTTGGAAACCCACCTTCGATACTGAAGCAAGCCAGCCCAGCGGTTGATAAAACCCCAGGCAAGAGGTGTTAAATGACTTAGCAAATGCTAAGTAGCTTGTATCTGTGCTGCCTGGACGTCAAG